GACGCTGACCCCTCTCCGTGTGTGGCCTTTCCCTCGCTCATAGGCTCCATTTAGCCACACCCTTCCTAGCCTGAGTTCTAGTAGGAGGAGCCCAGCTGTCCTGTTACTCCAGCATCCCAGAGGTACACCGGGCTCCAGCATGAGAACCTTGACCCCGTTAAGGGCACTCGGTTACAGGTGGACTGTAAGCGACTCCCTTCAGTCATCGTAAAAGATGTTACCAAAGAAACCCAAAGTGCATCCATTTCTTCCTGGTGTGCTGTTCACAGCACACACACGTCTGCGTCCGCGTCCTTGCTAGGGACACTCGGTCCCACCGCTCATCCTTTTGGGGAGAAACGACTCGCTCAGGAATGCAAGCTCGAGGGCGCACAGAGGTGACCGGGGCCTTTGGGTGAAACTGAGGTGGAATAACTCGCACATGAAGCTGAGTTCAGACGGGAAGAGCTGCCCTCTGCTTGGACGCGGCGAACGCCCTCGCTGCTGCCCAGCACGCTCCTCCGCCTGCTGCCAAGCCGTGCACGTGGTGGTGTCCGCCGCCGGCGACCTCGCCACATCCTCGAAAGGAGTAGGTGTGAGTGGGCGAGAGGCAGGCAGCTGGGCTCGGGGCTCTGTGGCTCCAGCGTCGGCTCATGGTGCTCCCTGCACACCTGTACACAGGTGGGCTGAGCCAGACGCACGTCCATGGCATCTGGTACGGAGGCCAGGGGGACACCTGGGGACACTTTCTAAAAATAAAATTACACACGAATTAATTTGAGGTTCCGTAATAACATTTGGCAGTCAGAGAAGATCGATCATCGTTCACGGAGCACAGCGTGGGCCGTGGGCCCGCCGGTGAGGAATGCAAAGTTAGAATAGACTTGCAGGAGAATAATTGGAAACGGGATTATAAAATTAGGCATTTTTTAAAAATCTGCATTGAAAACGAGGTTGGATGGAGTTTGGTGGTGCCCTCTAAGATTTTGGTAGACAGCGTGGTCTGGTAGCTGGGGAGAGACGAGGGGTTTAATTTTAGAACAACAGGCGTGGTGGCCCCTGCCGACGCAGAGACCAGCTTGGTGCCACGCTCGCATACGTCTTAAGGGGTCCCCTTTGTGTTCCTGTGGCCAACTGCACAACATGAACGTTAGAGTGTTTCTGTTTTACCGGCCTGCTCGGCCACGTTCCACCAGTGCCCAGCTGCCTCGTGCCACCTGAGCCTGGTGGCAAGCTGTAGGACTCCAGTTTTTATACATAACTCTTAAAACCTGGGCGTTTAAGCATCTGGCTGAATTGCATCCAATGATTAAACCATTGGGTTCATGGCAAGTGGATACGAGTATATAATTTTTGTTTCCGGATATATGTATAACACCAAAAAAAATTATGTGAGCCAATTGTAAGTGCCTAATGTTCGCGAGTGTCGACTGTTGAAAAGGCGTCCTGATTCTGTATCTTAGCGGGGGTGGCGTGTGAAGCAACTGTAGAGCTGGAGAGGGCCTCGCAGGTGGAGGTGATGAAGGTGAGGTCCGGGGTCCGGTCTGCTGGCTGCAGGTTGCAAGGCCGGAGGCCGGAGCAGAGCAGAAGGAGAGTGAGCTCGGTGCTTCCCCACGAAGCCTTTCTTGGCTTGAGGCTGATCCGACCACTAGCAGCGTGGCTTGCGAACGTGACTCTACACAATCGTAGTAAAGGCAGTGAGCAGAGAAAGGGGTGTGAAATCGTGCATCAGACGTGCCGAGGCAGAGGTGCATGGAGGCCGGGCCGTAGCCAGTGTCACCCGGGAGAGTTGGGTGGTGACGCGGCCCTGGGGAGGGGCCGAGGTGGCTGGAGGCAGCAGGACGTGGAGGGATGCGGCTGGCATTGGGGAAAATCCAGTGGTCCCAGGGACAGACTCCGTTCTCTCCTCCTGCCTTGGAGACCACCCAGACCAATGAGCAGTCAGACGCGTGTGTGACCTGTGTGCCCCGGGCACGCCGGCCAAGCCTCGGGGGGTTCAGTCTGAGTCTGCCCAGCAAGAGCCTCCGTGTGCACTCAGGTGCCGATGTTTGTTTGGGAAGCTGCGGTGGCACAGGACTTGGGGAGCGGGGGCGCTGGCGGGGAGCCAGGGCCCGGGGTAGGGAAGAGTGTTTGGGCTCATGGTCACAGTGGTGGCGTGCTGGCAAGGGCCCTCTGGCTGCGGTGGCCTCGGAGGGGAGGCAGCCTATGGCTGCACACAGGGCAGGCAGGAGCTAAGCCCAGCTTAGCAACGCGAATGATTTCAGTGAATACAGACGGTGGGAATGGAGAGGATGAAGGAAGCTTTAGAACGCTTCGTTTGGGGAGGTAAGCGAAATGGAGAGAGAGAGAGAGAGAGGGAGAGACCGAGCGGGCTCGCTCACTCCAGGTCGACGCACAGGGCGGGAACAGAAACCTGTGTCGTCAGGGGTTACGCGAGTTACTCGGCTGCTGAAATGCAGAGCCACAGACCGGGGCTGGCAGACGACACGAGCGCGTCGTCTGCTCCGACCCTCCGCCAGGCGAGTTTTCTCCGGACCCTCCTCTGCAGACGCGGCCCTTGCCCGGCGACGTGCGAAGCGGGTGGGAACGAGAGTTGAGCTGCTTTGCTCGCGTGTTGGAAAGGCTTTTCGGTGTTTGTTACGGAGCAGACTGAGTTCCCGATAGAGCAAGTTTGTTTTTCCGGCCACGTCAGTGCCCAGGTAGGAGTGTGAGTGTGAGTCACACGTCCGCACTGGCTCAGAAAGGTTTGTTCCCGGCCGGCCACCCCTGCCTCGCGCAGCAGCACCTGTCAGCAGGGCCTTGGACAGTGCTCAGGGTGGCGTGGGGCGGGACGGCCCAGACCCTGGACTCTGGCATGGCAGTCCATCTTCAGGGAGGCCCCCGGCGGAGGACAGACGTGGCTCCGAGCGGAGCGGGGCTGGCAGGCCGGCTCTGGGCCGGTGGAGACACTCGGCCAGCGGGCTTCCCAGCGTGCGGTGTTCACGGTGTAGACAGTGTTTCTGCACGTGTCGGTGCCGAGGAGCTGCGGATGAGGGTGGTGCTGGTGCTTCCTCTCCGAGACAGAGCTCAGAGCCCCGGGGAGGGCCGACTGCAGTGGACTCGGAGCCTGGAGTCTTGGGGCCGGTTCGGCCTGGGGGATGGCGAGGAACGCGGAGCGGCCGTGTCTCCCGCTGTCCAGGAGCAGCCTCGCAGTCTCGTCCGGGAGACGCGTGTGGCTCTGTGAGGGGCCCAGATGCGCTGGGACAGCCCTCGCCACCTCCACGTGGTGCTTCCCTGTCTCCCCTGTCCGGCAGGGGTCCCCGGGGGCTTCTCACTAACCCAGCGTGGTTCTAACGCCCCTCCGTCAGCCAGCTGCCCCGCTCTGTCTAACCGTGTGTAGTAGTTCAGCATCCCCCCCCCACTTGTGAACTGTGACCGCGGAAACACCATCCCTATGGCGTCTGTGTTCCCACCCAGAACTGGGTTTCTCTTGAGGAGAATACAGGTCCTCAGCCCGCGAATTTGTCGGCACATTGCAGCCCAGGCACCTGGCAGGCACGAAAAATTCAATTCCGTTTTGCAGACAAAATGCAGAGAATGACAATTTCGGTGTTCTCTGTTTCTGACCCCCGTGGGTCCAGGGTTCCCGGTGGGCGACAATCCGCACACGAAGCCTGCAGGAAAATTCCCCCCCCTCAGCCCCGGCTCGGCCCGGCGTTGCACAGGAGGCTGTGTTCTAACCAGAACGAACACGGTTCTCGAAGGCACACCGAAATCTGAGCTCGGTAGTTCTTTTAAAACCGCACTGGTGGCTGGAGGCGGGTCCGAGGCCCCCTCCTAAACGCTCACACTTGCCGGCGGGACAGCAGCCTAGGGTATAGTTTTCCACAAGTGAAGCCCACGTCTGTCTGCCCTCCTCTCGGTCCGTTTTTCTTGTGTAACGAGATGTTTTGTGTGTGTGGCAGGTGGCAGATTCAAGAAAGAGATTGTTGTTGACGGACAGAGCTATCTGCTGCTGATTAGAGATGAAGGGGGCCCCCCAGAGGCACAGGTGAGTATTACCGCCGACGGCCAACCGCGAGTTTGACCCGGATGAGAAGTCACAGTGTGCTCCCGAGGACGTGGGGGAGAAGCCCCCCGAAACCGTTTTCTGTGCCGGAGGGTTTTCTCTCCTCTAAGATGCTAGTCCTGCGGCTCCTTCAGATAAGATCCCAGGGGGAGGTTGGGTCGGCGTGGCTGGTTTTCGCTGGTTTCGAGGGGGACAAGAAGGAGAAGGCGGGCCGGTTTGCCCGCTCAGTTGGACTGACGCCCGGCCCTCTCTGCGGCCGCCCCAGCCGCCCCCTCCCCGCAGCAGCGGCTGCCCGGCCGGGGCCTCTGCCCAGGTCAGCCCCCTCCCACGGCCGCTGCGCGGCCCCACTTCCTTGACGCCTCCTGGGAAGACGTGCCTTCTGGAAATAGAAGAGCACAGGGCGGACGGCCGCTTTCTTTGCTTGACTCTGTCCCCAGCGCAGTGTTGGTCCCTGGCATGCTCTGCGAGACAAGCAGCCGTGGCGAGCTGCATCGGGCAACACGGGGTGGGCCAGCCCTGGGCGGGGGTGCGCCCAGCGTCTCGCCCAGATGTCCCGACATCTCGCCCACGGGTGGACGTTCGTGGTGACGGCGCACAGACCCAGGCCGCCTGCCCGCCGATGGCGCCAGCGCTGGCGTTGGGAGAATGAGGAGGACCTCGGGAGGTCTCCGTCTTGGCCTCGGACCGTGACTCAGTTTCCCCAGAGGGCCAGTCCTTTGGGGGAATATCAGACTCAGCCTTTCAAAATGATGGACGGGGTTTTGTACAGAATTAGGCAGAGAGCGCTTAAATGTTGGAAGGATAAAACTTTGAAGTTGCTGTTCGTAAGCCAGCGTGAGCACCCTGTGTTCATCATTTGAGGCCATTTTATGAAATCTCCCCAAAGATAATGGCTCCATGGACGAAATCACAAGACTTCTCGTGGCTCCTAGGGCCCTCTTAGGGCACCGTGAGAACTCGGCTAATTAACCGGATATATTGGGGGGGGCAGCTGGCGGGGTGGGGGTGTTGGAGTGCCACCGCCTGTTAGGTGCCGGCCAGTCAGGATGCACCCTTGGGAGAGCGAGGCATGGTTTGTATTTCTCCCACGTGGAGCACAGTCATCAGCTTTGGTCCTGGGAGATAAGGGCTGGTCCGCGTGACAAGTGTCATCTTAAGCCGTAATCACGCACCGAAGAAGCTGGCTTCTCTCCGCTTCTCAGAAGAGAAAGGGCAGCCCACCTCCAGGCAGAGGAAGGAATGAGGGACCTCGGTCAGCCTGGGTCCCCGGGCGGCCCGAAGGGACATCGGTTGGAACTTCAGGTTTATTTAAGTCTTATCGTGTCTATTTTTCACACGTAACGGAAGACACGCTTCATTTATGCATGGGAGTCAGGGCTTAACCCACCAAAAGTTTCCCCAGGTGTACGGGAGCCGAGGCCCTGGCCGCCGAGACGTCCGTCGGCGCTGCGGCGTCTCTCAGAGGAAGCAGGCAGGATTTTATAGGGGTGGCTGTCCACCCGGGAAGACAGGGAGCCTGGGGCCAGGCTGAGCCAGTGTCTGTGTCACTGCAGGAACCGTGTGTCCCGGGCCCTCCGTCCGCTGGGCTCCGACTTACAAGACCGTTCCAAGTACTAAGTGAGAAGTTAAGTGCCTGTCAGGACGGTTATTTGTCAAGAAGTTTGATGTAGGTTCAGCTGGGAAAACAAAGAAATGGGCCCCCCAGAGGGGTTTTTAAAATTTTTCCCCTAATTTTTGCTAGTTTTGCTCATTTCTCTAACAGTAGAGAATAATGCCCTGGCAGGGCGCTGTGAGAATTCAGTGGCAGCTGACCTTTATGATACAAAGACCTCTACTGACAGGGGTAGGCCGGGGGGGCCCGCCCGGGGTGGACGCCCCAGCTCAGAGGGGGCCAGCAGGGCCTCCTGGGGGGACTCCGGAGGCGTGAAGCGGAAAGCTTCCGGTCACTCGGTCTCAGGATGTGGTGCTGGCTGCTGGCAGGCTGCGGCTGGTCACGTCAGGACAGGCCAGAGGGTGGACGCTTCCGTGGGGAGGAGTGCCTGGTGAGCGTCTGTGGAGACCAGGGTGTCCTGGGTGGGGAGGGGGTGGCGGTCCCATGCCAGGCCCGCCGTGCCCAGGCCGAGAAGGCCGCGAGTGACACCACAGCGTTACACAGAAGCGAGGTATCGGGCGCGGCCTGGCCCCGGGGGCCGGCCGGCCGCACGTCCTGTGCTCGCGAAGGTGACTCCGTGGCGTCCGGCCCTCTCTCCCCACGAGCCCCTCATTCACTGCCTTCCGCTCCCCTCCTCCTCTTGTCTCCCTAGTTCGCCATGTGGGTGGACGCTGTTATCTTTGTCTTCAGCTTGGAGGATGAAATTAGTTTCCAGACAGTCTACCACTACTACAGCCGCATGGCCAGCTACCGCAACACGGGCGAGGTCCCGCTGGTCCTGGTGGGAACCCAGGGTGAGTGACACGTGCCCGTGGCCGCACCGGGCCGGGGGGGCGGGCGGCGGTTCTGACAGCCGGGCCCAGCGGGTTCGCGGGCTGTGCTTCCAGCGTGGGGGAATTCGAAAGTGGTCTAAAGAAGAAAGGATTTTCTACCGAAGGCTTATTTTTGACCATGAAAAATCTGTAAAAGTAAAATTCCCTGAGTTGATTCTACAGAGAAATCACTTAATCAGCAGCCTCAAAATAACACACGCACATGCACACGCACACACCCCCTACATACTTCACAAAAAAATAAAACCCACTTTCTATTGTGTGTTGGGATATCTTAAATCTCTCTATTACTTAAAACAATTTATAGGCAATCTAAGATTGTTCATTTAACTTTGCACCTTTAAAATAATGCCAGTTTCTGTTACATAGCAGTCTTGCTTTATTCTTCTCTGTTACTGTCTCATGATCTATATCTGATATTTAATCTACAGGCCCCTCAGAGAGTATAGTATCATATCATTTGAACGTATTCCTTATTTCTTCCGGGTCACCTGAAGCCTGGTCTCTTAGTAAAGTGACATCACTTCAGGTGTCCTCGTTCTTGATCACAGACTCGCTGATGCCCTGGCACCTAGCACTGGTGTCTTCAGAGGTCCCCATGGGACGTTTCTAAAAATCAGACGGAGGCTCACTCTGAAAACTGCCTTGTCGGAAACATGGGCAACTTACAAAGGAAGGAAGGTCAAGAAACATTGGAGGACGCCTCCGTTTTCCTGTTTCTATACTGTTTGCGTTGATTCCCTTAGAATCAGCACGTGGCCTGCCCTCCCCACCCCCTGCTGTGCGGCTTCTCCAGAGGAGAAGCGAGCAGGGGGAACGAGCAGGAACGGCCGGCCGTCTGCGTTTCAGTGGCCAGAGACGTGGGACGGCCGAGTGTTGGGACAAGTACAGTCACGTGGGTAAACTAAACGCGTTTTCTCAGGTAAAGGTGAGAGCTGCGCTGTCACGGAGAGCACAGCACCACCCGTCCCCTTTTTTTTTTTTTTTTTTGCACACCTGTAGCTGTGAGTGGTCACGTGACTATAACCTTCGGGTAAGAGGAAGATTTAACCTAAAACCAAACAGGAGACGAGGCTTTGTGCCCAGCGCGCCCTCCAGTGGCCACACGGCAACGGTGCGCCAGTGAAAAGCCCTCGGTTTTGTTTTTAGTACGGAACTGGTGGTGTGAGTCCGTGTCTTGAAAATTCTTACTAAATGCCATTTGAGAGCAGGCACTTCCTCTAGCCCAGGGTGTTCCGAGCAGAGCCACCAGCTGCATAGGGGGATCTCCTCACAGCCGCCTGAGTTCGGGAGCAAGGACACCGGGGGCCCTGTTCACCGTCTTGTGCTCATGCCTCACATGGCCACGCCCCAAGGAACAGGGCAGAGTGCTGTCTGTTAGGGATGTTTGTCATCTCGGTCATTAACCAGACCTCTAATTCCCAGAGGGCCCTGGAGGCCCTGCTGGCCAGCGGATGGGTGAGCCTGGGCTTCTGGAGGGTTCCACGCTTCGCTGTTAGTTGAACGCAGACTCACTTCCCGAGAAGCCTGCGTGTTTGTCAGGCTTTCTTTTGCATGGGCTGGATGGCATGCCAGGACAGAGGCAGGGCAGGTCAAGGGAAGACAGACGAGGGGGTCCACAGTTCCTCTCCCAGGCGGATGGGTATGTGACCTCAAGGTAGGAGGTCAGAGATGGGACGAGATGAAGAACGAAGCTCATTCTTTAGGGCACCTGGCAGGTGGCGTGGCCTCAGCCAAAGGTGTCCTCTTTCTGGGGACAGTCGGGGCGCTCTGCAGTTGGTCTTAAGTGGATGAGACGTTTCTGAACGAGGTGATTGCAGTGTTCGCTAAGCAGGTTCCGTTTTGAGAGCTCGCAGATTAAACTGATTTGAGGGAGAAGCACGAGGTGTAAAAAGCTGCCGACTCCGAGCGACTGAAACGTGGCTGGCGTGGGCTGAAGCGTCACGGGCCTGGCGGCTACGTCCGTTTCCGTCTCTGACGGTGCATCTCGGAAGACGGGACAGAACGGAAGTGGAGTGGATGTCCCGCCGAGGACGGAGGAGCTTGGGCCGCGGGGGCCACGGGTCAGGATGATTGTAAAGCTGGATCGATGCTCTGTGGCCTGCATTTATGTGTTTTTAACTCGTTCCTACTATTTTCTTAAAAGATGTTTACGCCTGCGAAAGAGACTTCTTTTCCTTAAGTTTGTGAAGTCCACGTCAGATTTATTAATCTGTAGGACGCGGAGACAGGATGAGGTGTTCTTGGAGGCCGTCCATCCAACACAGCTTGTTGGGGGAGCATCTGGAACGTAGGTCGTTGTCAGCGAGTCCCAGATCACAGAGCTGGTGTCCTCAGCGTAGTTAGGACGGTCAGCTCAGGCCTGTTCCATGGAGCTGGAAAGTGAAGTCGGGGTCAAGGAAAGAAAGAAAGAAAGGGGAACAGCGAATAATTTTATTCATTTATTTTTTACTTACATGTCATTTTTCATGTTTTTATTGTAAAATTTTGTTGAATATATTAGAACATTTTCATATCTTATTTTTACTATAAATTTTATTATTTCCTCAAGATGCCACTTTTTTTTTTTAATTAAAAAAAAATGGAGTGCCACATACACTTTCTGGGCAGAAGTAAGACTGGACAGGCTGTCGCTGCCTCGTGCGACTCGTGACGCCGCTGTCCGAGTCGGGAGGCCATCCGCTGCTGGACTGTGGTTTAAAGAGCTCTTGAGCGTGTTCTGTTTCCACCCCTTTCACACCCCCTGAGAAATGCGTGTGGTCTCACACCTGAGCGCCACAGCCGTCCACACGTGGGCCTTTGTCCTTGCATGTGCCGGACACCTGGCTGGCGCTCAGTACGCGGTGGGGTGGGGGTGCGGTCAAGGCCGCGCTGGACAAAAAGGCTACTTTTTTTTTTTTTTTTTTGAGGTGATTGGCGGGCGCCCGACACCTCCGCCTTGCAGCTCCAGCACGCCCCGCGCTGTGCGTAGCTCCTGCGGGAGGCGGGGCACCCCCACCCTCTCGTCCAGGCTGCCCCCGGGGCCGCTCTGCCTGCCCGAAGCTGGCTCACACACTCGTGCGCGCGTGCCCCTGCGGCCCGCCGATGCAACCCCCTCACCGCCCACCCCTGCCCTGTCCCTTCGGTCTTTCCGCGGTGCACCAGGTGCTCACCCAGGAAGTGGCGGGTCACCCCACCTCCTGCAGGCGGGGCTCCCCTGGGAATCACCCCCCGCCCCGGGGCCGGGCACCCTCCGTTCGCAGCCGTCCCTCGGTTTACTGTTCGTTTCCTGTCCCCTTCTCAGCTCTCTGTCGTGTTCTCTGCATGTCGGTCTCTGGAACCGGACCAGATGCCCGCGGGGCTCGTGGCCCTCGTGACCGAGCGGCCGCGTGGCTGCCTGGGGGACCGCGCCGCCACACAGGAGGCGTTGAGCACAGTGCTTCGTGCGTCAGCGGCCACCTGCACACAGCGCCCTGGGCTTTTCCCGTTTGAAATTATTTTCCTCTGGGCCACGTTTAACTCTCAGTCCTTCTGCTCATCTTCCTGGACCTTCTCTTGTCCCCATTTCAGACAGGATCCTCCGAAACGGATTCCTCCTAATGACAGCGATTCTAGCGTTTGAGACTGCGGTTCGCAGTGTGGGCCAAGGTCTCAGAAGAATCACACGGCCGCCGGCGAGGCGCGGGCTCCGAGCAGCTCAGAGCTCTGCAGTTGTGGGGAGCAGTCGGAGCCGCTGGTGGTCACCCCGTTGCCTTTTTTTGCGTTTGTCTGTTCCAGATGCCATAAGTTCCACGAACCCGCGGGTCATTGACGACGCCCGAGCGAGGAAGCTGTCCAGCGACCTGAAGCGATGCACGTACTACGAGACGTGTGCCACGTATGGGCTCAACGTGGAGCGCGTCTTCCAGGACGGTGAGCACTGCCTCTGGGGCCCGGCGTCACTTCCCGTCCATGCGGGGGGGCGGCCACAGCTGAGCCCCGCACGCCCCAGGCGACTCTCGGTTCTGTGCCGCCTGAAGTGGCCCGCTGAGGAGAGGTGACAGCACGCCTCCTCTGAATCCGCCCCACGCCGAGCTCTGCATGTCACGTCGCACGAGCGTGTTACGTGCGGGATGACGTTCCTCGATCAGTTAGGCGCATGGTGGGTCACGCCCGCACCTGCTCCGTTTGGCTCCGTTTGGTCGTTGGTGATGCAGGCCCGTCTCTTGAGAAAGGTTTAGCCGTTTCTTGTTAGGCTTCGAGGAGGATGAGCCGAGAAGAGAGACTCAGGGTTGGGCAGAGAGGCAGAAACGTGGCACCGCAGGACCCGTGCTGGGGTGGCTCCTCCGCGGCTCGGTTCCTTGTCGCATGCCCTCCTCCGGGATCAGCGGGCGTCACACAGGACGTGCTCCTGGACGAGTGCCAGGTTCCCAAGGGCGTGGAACTTTCACATGAGTAATCGCAGCGCCACGTGTTGGTTGCGAGAAGCGGGGGTGATGGGAGTCGGGGGAGGGGGCGGGGGGCGTGGCCACTCTGGGCGGTGTGTCCCACCTGGTGGGGTCGCAAAGGTCTGGGGGGAAGTGACTCCTGTAGCATCGGACACGTGGGAGAGAGACGCTCCCGGTGACAGGTCCTGTTCCAGGTGGCAGTCTGGGAAGTAAGCGCGAGGCCCACCTTCGCACCGCCCAGCCCTGGTGCCATGGGAGGTGGCCGGGGGCAGCGCAGCGGCCAGGCGTGGATCTTCAGAAGCTTCCCGCGCTGCCCAGAGGTCGTGGAGGCCTCGCTGGGCCCCAGCCTGGTGGACACTGGCCACTGTTAGTAAAAGTCGTAATCGGGGCTCCTGGGACCACGCTGGGCAGTGAATGTTTTCCTTCTAAATGTCCAAATTTGTTTTCAGGTGACACTGAGTTCCCCCCTTCAGCATGTTATTCCGTTTCAGAGACCGCGTCCCTCACCTTTACGTGGCCCCCTTGGGCCCTCCGCCAGCGGGCGGACCTTTGAGCCCCACAGCGGCACACGCAGGGTCAGGGACGAGTGAGGCTGTGAAGGGTGAGGGGAGCAGGGAGCTCTCGGGGTTCCGACAGGGCGAGGCCGCCATTGCCCGGCGAGTAGCCCCAACCCCGTGAACGTCAAAGTGAAGTAGCAGACAAAGGTCCCCAGACGAGAGCCGCGGCCCGGTCTGGCCAGCCGCCCGTTTCGTAAGAGACCTCGCCGGCCACGGCCGGGCTGCTCACGGGCCCCAGGGGTGCGGGCCAGGCCGCCCCTGGCTTTGGCTGCAGAGATGAGTCGTCACTCCAGAGACGCTGTGGCCCGCGCAGCCCCGGGCGGTCCCTCTCGGGCCTTCATCGAAGGTCCCCCGGTCCCTGGCGTCAGCGCTGTGAGTGTGGTCACGTGGATGGGCGTGTTCTCCACTGCGATCGCCAGAACATGTGCATTGGCTCCAAACACGCAGTTTCCACACAAAAACGAACTCGTAAATAAATCTCAAGAGTTGGTTGATGGTGGGGGTGCCGAGGAGGTGGCACGTCCGTGCCCAGAGTGGCCGAGGCCGCGGACGGCGGTGGTGACCTGCGTGCCCGAAGCGCTTCACGCCGTCGGCAGCGTGGGGCCCTGGGGGGGGGGACGCCACGGTTTTAGCCGTTGGTGCTGGTGTGGCTGTGACGGCCCACACGCCCCCTCCTCAGACAGCGTTCCACCGGCGAAGCTTGTTGGCACCTGCTGTAGTTTTCACAGGAATATATTCCGTGCATTTTGTTTCTCATTTTAGAGATGATAGACACTCCCATTAACTATCTAGATCGTGCAGAGTCTTCCAAGGAAATGACCCCCGTGACGCCTCAACTTCTGTGGCTCCCGGGGGTTCATCCTGAAGATGTTTTTGTGAAGATAAGTTTTAAAAATAAAACTGTGGTTACTGTGCACGTTTTACATGGTAGTTATAGGGCATGTCTTCTTGTGTCTTAAGTCATCGGAGCTTTAATGCTTAGTAGTTAAAGTAGCTGCTAACCAACTAGACTCAATACTTAGAAACCATTAACGGGATAATCCAGTTTGATCCCCACGGAAAGAAAATGAGCTTGTAAGGTTTAGAGTTAAAGAAATCGAGGCTCAGAAAGGTGACGTAACTGGGCCCACGGCACGTCGCCTGGATTAGACCCCGTCCCGAGAGCCCGCGTCCTGTCCGCTCACCCAGGGCAGGCCGGCGGGCGGCGTGTCCAGCACACAGGCCCACCTGCCCCTCACGGACTCCGCTTTCGCGGCTCTCCCTTCGAACTTCCTGGCTCCCTCTATGCCCTGGCACTTTTATTTACTTACTTCTCACATCTTTGCGTTGCAGAAAGAGATAATAAAGAAAAAGTGTATGATTTCTGAGAATCATTTCGCTGATCAACAGAGGGCAGCGAGCCGGGCATGTCACGTCCCACGCGGCCTCCGCCTGCCCGCAGGCCTCGTCGGCTGGCCACCACGCCTGTTTTATAGGAGATCGGGGACTTGATTCTTCTTGAACGTTTGACTTCCTAGGATCCTGAAACAGGAAGCGAAGAGTAAAATTAGCAGGAAAACAATGCTTGCTTTTCTTTCGTTCACGTAGATGTCGGATGCCTGTGGGGAGCTAGCTCAGGAGGGAACTTCTTGGTTAGCAGTGGGGTCCCAGGGGGCAGGGAAGGGGGTCGGTTCATTCGTTCGTTCGTTCATTCCTTCCCAGTTGGAGCAGCAGCCTTCCTCACACAGCCCCCCCGGTCGGGTAGAGACCCACTGGGGAGCACGGCGGCCCCTGCCTTGGTGAGGCGCAGGATAACCACGGACAGCCAGCCACCCCCGAAGGCCGGCATCCTGCCTGCAGTGCAGATGGGGGTGCAGCGGGCTGGGTGCCTTCTGGCGCCCCCTTAGCTGTGGGCGTCATCCGTGCCACTGCTCACTGCAGCTTAGTGTGGCTTGTGGAGCAGATGAGAGTCACCTTTTGAGAATTAACATCCTCCCTGTTTCTGCCAAATCTGGGCAGTGGATCCGGCTTGCGACATGGTCCCCATCTGTCTGTCGGGGGGCCCGGCAGGCCGGACCCGCGGGGTTGAGGCGGTGTGGCTGCCCGGGGCCCCCTCTGTGTCTCACTCTGTCTGGTTTTGTGCCTTTCTGCTGGCCACTGGCCACGTCTTGGAGATTCACTGCCAGCTTCTGGACTCCTGACTTTATAATGGTGATTTTCCTGTTTGCCACTCGGGTTTTTGAGAGGTCCTGGTCATCGGTGCTCTCAGGGTGTGGACACGTGAAGATGGAAGGCTGGAGAACGTGACGATCCCTCTCCGCAGGCCTCGTTTCTCTCGCTTGCTTTATTCATTCATTCATTCATTCATTCATTCAGGCTTGCTTTATTCATTCATTCACTCATTCATTCATTCATTTTTAAGGAAGATCTCCCTTGCTTTGTCACGGGGCCAACGTTCCAAGTGGCCGGAGCCCGCAGCGGGGCGTCTTTGTGGCATTCCAGATGGGCCTCCGGGTGGGAATGGAGGGTCCTGTTGGCGATGGGATTTTCCAACCTAGATGATCCGCGATGACCTAAAATGATTACAGCTTAGCAGCAGAAGTAAATTCTCCCACCAGAAGGGAAATGTAAAGGCCTCTGGGCGTTGGGCGGGCGTCGTGGGGGAGGGCAGTGGCTCTGCCCCGTCGTCGTCGTGATGGGGCATTCGGGTTGTATTTCTCTGCAGCTGGATTTTGGAAATTGTGAATCGAAGTCCCTTTTCGAGCGCTTGTCAATTTCTCAGAGTGTCTGCGTGCATAGACACTCTGCGTGCAGAGTGTTTGCTGTGACGGGCGCGTGGTGGACATGTGATGGGGCAGAGTGACTTGTGTCACAGTGTAGTTATCTCAGTCATCCTGAGGCTGAGGGAGAAGCAGTTCTTTGTTTTGGCATTTTATGGACTAGAGGCAACGGAGTCCCTAAGTTTTTTTGGGAGGGAGGATGTAGTTCGTAATTTCGTGAACTGTGGCACCTGACTTGTGTGTGACATTTTCAAGGCCCCGGGTCCCTAAGGAAGCATTGGTTTCCCTTTAGACAGAATGAGTAGAGTCACACGGTGGTCCAGACAGTTTTAATGTCCCCTCATCGAAGCCGCCTGTGTCCTTTCTGCCACGCTCCCTCCCTGCCCTCGAGCGAGCTGACGCAGCGTTGTCTGAACTGTGAGCAGGTTGGTGTTTGGGTCGTGCTGTTACGCATCCCACCGTCAGCCGTCCGACCAGCCCGGTTTCCTGCTCTCGCACGTGTACCCTAAAATCGTAGTCCTTCAGCAAATCCCAACTCAGAGCATCCCGTGATGCATTTTCAGGCTCACTCGCCGCGGAAGCTTTGGCTCGTAGCTTCTTAATTAAGCTCGTGCTCAGAGGACAGTAGGAAAATCCACACGCAAAATTTTGCTCTGATGATAAATCTTAGGCCAGGTCAAGATCTGTGTCAATCAAGAGCTAGATAAATTACAAATTACAAACCTGTCCCCTTAATTCTCCCCACGACTGCTGGGTTTTGTCACGGTCCTGCTCGTCGAGGCACCGGGACGCCGAGCGATCGCACGTGGAAGGAAGCCCTTTCGTTCCAAGGCTCATCTGCACTATTTACGGTAAAAGAAACGTTCGTCTCAGGTGCACATGGGTGGGAAGGCTGGGCCACAGCATCGAACAGTGTGCTCCCCCTTCCAGAAAGATCCACGTCAGCCTTTCAGCACCTTCGCTCAGCTCTTTACGTCGTGCTGGAGTTAGCATTCTGGAAAGCGCTTTCGTAGAAGCTGCTCCCTCCTCGGTCCCCCCACCTGGGGACGGCCCTCCGGGGTGTGAATGCCCCACACGCAGGGCTGAGCCGGGGGAGGCCGCGTGACTCGCCTGGGCTACGCGGGACGGCCACCGAGCCCCCGTTTGCGTTCCTTCCTCTGCGCAGATCG